TTTCTGTGCGCTGCTCTAGTTTCGGTGTGTTCCATTGCACCAGAAGTGGCTTAGTCATGCTGGCCACATGACCTGGAAAAACTGTCTGCAGACAAATGCCGGCTCCCTTGGCCTGTAAAGCAAAATGAACGCCCAACCCCAGAGTCGTCTGCTGCCGGACTTAAATGTCAGGGGTCCTTTAACTTTTACCTATTTAAAAAAGGTAAAGGACCCCTGGAAAGTTAAGTCCAGTCAAAGGTAACTAAGGGGTGCAGTGTACATCTCGCTTTTCAGGCTAAGAGAGCCAGCCTTTGTCCACAGACAGCTTTCCAGGTCATGTGGCCAGCATGACTAAGCCACTTCTGGCATGACGGGACACCGTGACGGAAACTGGAGTGCACGGAAACTCTGTTTACCTTCCCGCCATGGAGGTACCTATTTATCTACTTGCACGGGCATGCTTTAAAACTGCTAGGTTGGCAGGAGCTGGGACAAAACAATGGGAGCTCACCCCATGGTGGGGATTCGAACCGCCGACCTTCCTATTGGCAGGCCCAAGAGGCTCACTGGTTTTAGTCCACAGCGCCACCCGCGTCCCTAGTTTGCCTTTAGCATTTAGGTAGGCACACCAAGAAACTGGTGGAGCTGGTTTCTGCACATGCTACTCACGAACCATGTCAGTTGCAAAGGAGATGGGACTTGTGATCTGCAGAAGCCTACAAGAGATGGAAAAGGAGCTGTTTATCTGGAAGTGAGACTTCTCTTCTTCTGGGCTATCACAGAGGGTGAGAGCAGTTGTCCAATGTTCTGGAAACCCAGTTCACATGTCATGGGTATAAGTCTCAGTTAACACACATCCACCATAATAGGCGGTTTGCCTCCTCCTTGCTGGCGGAACAAATTGTGGTTTTTTGGGGAGCGAGAACAAACTACAAGCATTGACTTGGAGATAACAGCAAGCCAGGAATTGTGGTTTGTTTCCTCCCGACGTGAATCCATATATGTGTGAGACAGTTGTGACTCACTTGTTCACAGGAAGTCACGATTTCTAGATGACATGTAAATATGATGGGAGCCTGGATGCATGAATGTGATTAAAAAGGTTGATTAAAAAGAAATAACGAGAGACGGTTCTTCAGGTGTTTTTGTTTTTTATTTGAGTAATAAACCAAACGCGCAGGTACCTGCCCGATTTTCTTATGCTGTTTTGTTTCTTAATTTCACGTCGGGTGACGTTAGTAACGCACCACACTTCTCAGAGCACAGCAGACATCACCTTGTGTCTTTGCTCAGGGCTGATTCATATGTGTGTGTATAGATAGATAATCTCATTACTCGCTGCCACATCACTTGGTGAGTCTTGGCTCAATGTCTTCAAAAACCGTGGCTTGAGGTGAGATGGATATTCAAAGCTTTCTCTGTGTACAGTGTCTTATTTGTGATATTTTGATATTATAGTCATTGGGTGCTCTTTGCGTCTCCCAGGAGATCCAAGAGCTTTCTCACACTCCTGAGGTTCAGTTGGCCTTCCCTGGGGAGGAAGGCTTAATGTGACAAGCGCTGCCCTGTGGAACTCCCGCACTTTCGGCGGAACCACCTTCTGAAACCGACTCCTTAGATGTTGTTGTTGTTAGTCTTTAGTGTCGACTCTGTGACCCCATGGACCAACAGCCAGGCATCCGTTCCACCCTCCGCAGTTGTTAGATCATGTTTGTAGCTTCGATAAATATCAACATCCAGTCGTCCCTTCTCCTTGTGCCCTCCATCTTTCCAACATGAGGTCTTTTCCAGGGAGTCTTCTCTTCTCATGAGGTGGCCAAAGTATTGGAGCCTCAACTTCACGATCTGTCCTTCCAGTGAGCACTCAGGTCTGATTTCCTTAAGAATGGATGCGTTTGATCTTCTTGCAGTCCATGGGACTCTCAAGAGTCTCCTCCAGCACCATAATTCAAAAGCATCAATTCTTCGGCGATCAGCCTTCTTTATGGTCCAGCTCTCACTTCCATACATCACTACTGGGAAAACCATGGCTTTAACTATACGGACCTTTGTTGGTAAGGTGATGGCTCTACTTTTTAAGATGTTGTCTAGATTTGCCATCGCCTTTCTCCCAAGGAGCAGGCGTCTTTTAATTTCGTGGCTGCTGTCACCATCTGCAGTGATCATGGAGCCCAAGAAAATAAAATCTCTCACTGCCTCCATTTCTTCCCCTTCTATTTGCCAGGAGGTGATGGGACCAGTGGCCATGATCTTCGTTTTTTTGATGTTGAGCTTCAGACCATATTTTGGAAAAACCGCACTCCTTAGATAGGCCATCACAAGATAATTTTCTCTTTTTAACCAAGCAGTGCCTACTGATGTTCTTAATGGCGTTTTGTGGATATTTGTGGACCGTTTTCCTTATCTTTCAAATGTTGTAAGCCGCTTTGATACCACTTTACGAAGGTGCGGGTTGTAAATACATGAAGCGGTTAAGGTTGTGTATGGACCTGTGGATGGGGTGGGGGTCCAAACTATTTTAAGTGCCAAAAGGGGGCATTGTGGGTGAGGGTCATAGAATGGTGCCTCTGGGGCTGGCCAGGGGGTGCTGGTTGCCAGGAACTGAGGCAGCCTTGGAGTAAGCAAGCAAGCGGGCGAGGGAGCCCAGCCAGCCAGGTCCTCCATCCCTTGCCGTTGGGACTGGACAGACAAGTCTCAGGTCCCTGTGGGCAGTGTGAGGAGGCACCTCTCTTTGGGGTGGGGTGCATCTCAAAAACTAGGGGCAGGTGGCAGTGACAGCGGCTGCCCAGAGGACTACCAGTGGAGAGGAGAGGAGGCTGAGGGAACACTCCACAAGGGAGCGTGTTCAAAAAAGCGTGAGAGGCTGCCAGCTCTGCAGGCAAGGGGTGACGTAACTGGGCTATTGAGCCCCCCAGAATATAGTTGCTCAAGGGACCCCTGGACTCAAAAAGGTTGAAAACCTCTGAGCTAAAGTGTGCACAGATTTCCTTTACACCAAAAGTGTCGTAATCTTGGTGTGGTTTCCGCTTCCAGAAGGAGAAGCGCAAATTTAGCCTGACGGAATCGGCTTGCCAGCTTCTCCGTGGTTATGTTGCAAGGCAGACTTTTCCACCCGTTGACTTCTGCATTGTTTCTTCGAATCTCAAATCTTCCCCTTCCAAGAATCTGTGAACACAGTTGGCAGACAGGATGAAGGCACCGTTTGGGACTGCAGAACTTCTCTGTATGGTGTGGCCTTTGTTTCCCATCCCACCTTTTGCGAAATGCGTCGCTTTTCTCCCCACTTTTCATGCTGCCCAACTTTCAGTGCTGTCAGTGTTTACCCATTTAGGGCCTTGCCACCACCTTCTCCTTCGCTTCTTCTATTTCTCCTAACCCAGTGCTTCCCAAACTTGTTTTTGTACTACAACTCCCATCTTCCCTAGCTCGCAAGACCAGTGGTCAGGGATGATGGGAATTGTAGTCCCAACAACAGCTGGAGAACCACGTTTGTCCTAACCCATCCGGATTGCTGAAACAACAACAAAATCTCATCTGGCAACAAATGTGCCCCTTTGGTTTCAGATAGCACATGGGTAGACGAATCTAAAAAGCCCAGGACACAAATTTTCATGGCCCTCTAGCATCCATGGTGGCTCATTTACCAGCAGTAATGTATTTAGCTTTAAACTCTGGAAATGTAGATTCGATTCTGATGAAGCTAGGCCTCCTAGAGCAAAATATACACCAGGAGGCTTAATTTGGTCAGAATCGAGAATATACGCTTCCAGAGTTAACGCTAAATACATTACTGCCGGCAAATGAGCCACCATAGAGACTTGTCTCCATTTGGGAACATTTTCACCTATGAGAATGCTGTGGTAATAGGAGTTTGCATATGTGTGTTTATGTAAGTTGGGGAGTGTGGGAATTGCTTCCCAACATGGGCACAGCAAAAACATTTGCACAGATCTGTAAATGTGCAAGAGCCACTCCTGATTTGCGTTAATTTCCTTTCTTAACAATTTTAATATAAGAGGTTGCAGTGGCTACTGGTGGGGACACTTCTCACTCTATTTCCAACACATTAATTAGTTTCAAGGGGATGTTACCGATCCAGTGCGTTGCTAATTGTTAACGTTTCACTCTAGGTCATACTGGCTTAGTAATACAGTGGTACCTCAGAAGTCGAACAGAATCCATTCCGGAAGTCCATTTGACTTCCAAAATGTTTGGAAACCAAGGCACGGCTTCCAATTGGCTGCAGGAAGCTCCTGCAACCAATCGGAAACCGTGTTGGATGTTTGTGTTCCAAAGAATGTTCACCACTGGAACACTCACTTCCGAGTTTGTGGCGTTCAGGAGCCAAAACGTTTGACTCGCAAGGCGTTCGAGATCCAAGGTACGACTCTATTAGGATTCAATATGCATCAGGGTTATTGCTTCCTAAGCTTTCTGGCTTCCTTGCTGTCATTTTTTGGGGGGTGCAGTTTAAAAACGATTTGTATTTATATATAGCTTGTTCAATTCATCAAATAACTCCACATACATTATCCCAGTAAACTTTACCAAGTAGCCCGTAAGGTTGAAATCATCATCTCTGTATTCAAAGTCCCATTATTGAGTTCATTACTGTTGAAATTTGAACCCGGCGTTTCCCAGCGGATTTGCAGAGCTCTGTTTCCTAAATAACAATTTATTTTGTCAACCCCTCTGAAACGTAGAATTGGTAAGGGTTTTGCTCCGCGAGCAAATGACACAAAACTTTGTCATGTTCTATTCCTCAGTGCTCTCCTACTGGCGGAAATGATTGTTCCACAAAATGCTTTCTCTATTAATAGTCACTTTTTTATTTTAAAAAGGATTTTGAAACATAAGCTAGAGTGTTTTTTCTTTCTTTCGGAAACGGGATTACTATTTCTGCCGCAAGCGTTCAATGCGTGATTATAAGAGCACTCTGTATAATTATAATGTTTATCATGCATGTCCTCCGAAAATAATCTTTTTCCCTTGTCTCTGCCGCTTCCCTTTGTGTTTTGCAGGGACTCCAACCGTCATGTTAAGATAAAGCAGAAAGGAGCAGTGCTGAACATGCTAAAGAGGTTAGACAAAATAAGGTTCAGAGGTCACAAGAGAGATGAGTTCCTCGATTTAGCAGAGTCTCCTAATGCTTCCGACACTGAATGTGGAGATGAAATTCCTATGAAAATACCTCGTACGGCAGGCAAAGACAGCGATGAATTGAGAGACCCTGTAAGTATCTGCACTATTGACATACGTGCCAACTCCCTGGGTGCCCGGGCACCCACAAAATTCCCATGGAGGGGCTGGGCACCCACAAAATTCCCCATGGAGGGGCCGGGCACCCACAAAATTCTGTGCCAGGGCCATGCACGCTGCATGGCACCCACGGCCCCGGGGCCAAGATGGCACTCCTGGCTGAATGAATGAATGAATCTTTATTGCTAAAAGCTATAAGCTGTCACATGGGATGCGGGTGGCGCTGTGGGTTAAACCACAGAGCCTAGGACCTGCTGATCAGAAGGTGGGCGGTTCGAATCCCCGCGACGGGGTGAGCTCCCGTTGCTCAGTCCCAGATCCTGCCAACCTAGCAGTTTGAAAGCACGTCAAAGTGCAAGTAGATAAATAGGTACCGCTCTGGCGGGAAGGTAAACGGTGTTTCTGTGCGCGACTTTTGTTTGCCAGAAGTGGCTTAGTCATGCTGGCCACATGACCCGGAAGCTTGGAACCGACAGCTCACAGAAGAACCCCAACCAGACCTAAGAGGAGGCGTGTAGTGGTGATAGGGGATTCCCTACTGAGGGGAACAGAAGCAGTGATCTGTGGGCCTGACAAGATGTCTCGGGAAGTGTGCTGTCTCCCCGGGGCTAAGATCCAAGATGTAACTGAACGACTGCAAGGAATCATAAAACCCACTGACAAATACCCCTTCCTCTTGGTTCATGTGGGAACCAATGACACTGCAAGCAATAGCCTCCAGAAGATCAAAAGAGATTACGAGGCTCTGGGCAGGAAATTGAAGCAATTAAATGCACAAATTGTCATCTCATCTGTCCTCCCAGTTGAACGACGTGGCCCAGGGAGAGAGGGAAAAATAGTGGAAGTGAACAACTGGCTTCGCAAATGGTGCAAACAGGAACGGTTTGGATTCTTAGATCACGGAATGCAGTTTCTTGAAGATGGACTTCTGGCAAGCGATGGGCTGCACCTCACAACGGTTGGGAGGAATGTTTTTGCAAAAAATCTCAGAAACCTCATCAGGAGGGCTTTAAACTGACTAATGTGGGGGAGGGAGACAGTGCTCCTGAAGGTAGGAGTCTATCAATTGATGAAGATGATCATCCAAATGTCATAGACCGAATGGAGCAAAGAGCATGCAGACCTAGTGGTGGGAGGAGAAAATCCTTAAATAAGAGACACGGGGGAATGATTAATGGACTTCAATGACAGTGGAATTTGCTGCCAAGGAGTGTGGTGGAGTCTCCTTCTTTGGAGGTCTTTAAGCAGAGGCTTGACAACCATATGTCAGGAGTGCTCTGATGGTGTTTCCTGCTTGGCAGGGGGTTGGACTCGATGGCCCTTGTGGTCTCTTCCAACTCTATGATTCTATGATTCTATGATTCTGTATGCCGGCTCCCTCGGCCAATAAAGCGAGATGAGCGCCGCAACCCGAGAGTCGGTCACGACTGGACCTAATAGTCAGGGGTCCCTTTGCCTTTACCTTTATAAGCTGTCACAATTGGTCACGATGCGTAGGATACAAACAGTTGATTTAAAACTGAACAACAAGAACAGTGAAGCAAACATGCAAAAATGTAAAAATCGCACTTGCATAAGTTAAGCACTCCACGTCTCAACTCCCCCTTATGATACTTGTCTTGGTGCCTAGCTCTCAACGTACTTGCAGCCTAGGCAAATTTTGCAACCCGTGCAGTAATAAATACATTATTTCCAGCTGGCAAAATAGAGATTTGCTCAAGGGCAGTTCGGATGGAAAGAGAGCAAAGGTTGTAATCGAGGAATTTTTTTCTAGCACTAATGATGTGTGTCTGTGTGTGGTCACTTTCTTATTTTGAAAAACATTTTAAGTGTTTGTAACGCGAAAATTATGCTCTATTTGGTTTTTCTTATTAGTCCCATGCGCACTTAATGCTTTAACTGTGGTTTGTTTTCGGGACGGATCATATCTGAACATCTAATTCAGTGATGAGGAACCTGTGGTTTTCCCCATTATTGTTAGATTCCCAGCTCCAATCAGCCCCGGCAACCAGCAGTAATCAGGGAAAAGGAAATTTGTGGCTCAACAACATCTGGAGGGCCGCAGATCCCCCCCCCACATTTAACCCATAGTTAAAAATTAGCCACAGATCAGGATGTGAAATGTTTCAAGAGCTTTTTTGAGTTTTGTCAACCATTATTCAGTAATACTTCTGGACCAAAGTGGTCCATGGTGAAGGCAATTTACTTCCCTCTTCTGCCTTCTTGTCTGCAGGGTGAGAAATAACTGTCACTCATGTCTCTGTGTACCTATCCTCTGAGCTTAACTATGATTTCATTAGACATTTGAGATCCTAATCAGAGAAGGGTGTAAATTTCAGGGTTATATCTAAACCAGGCCACTGGGAAGTGGAGTTAAATCTGATCCGTTGTTTTCATTATTGTCATCATTTTATCATTTGCTGCCTTTCAAAGAGTTAAAACCATGCTCAGGACCTCTTACATAAAAATATCTACACTGGTGCCTTGGTTTAAGAACAGCTTAGTTTATGAACAACTTGGACTAAGAACGCTGCAAACACAGAAGTAGGTGTTTTGGTTTGTGAACTTTGCCTTGGAAGCAGAACATGTTCTGCTTCCTGTTGAGTGTGTTCCGTTTGTAAATTGAGTCCCCTTCTACTATGGGAAAGCACACCTTGGTTTAAGAATGCTTTGGTTTAAGAACGGACTTCCGGAATGGATTAAGTTTGGGAACCAAGGTAGCACTGTACATAATTACAAACATAACAAAAGTAGTTGTAAACAATAAATAAAACACATTGAAAAGTGCACAACCAAAGATCCTACTAAAGGGATTAATTACAAGACAGGAAGTGGAACATGCAATAAGTTCAATGCAATTCGGCATTTACTTATTTTTTGGAAAAAAAGAAAAGAAAAGTGCACAACCAAATTGAACCATTTCCACATAAATCGTAATTAGATCTAAAATAAAAATACAAAAAGTTAGTATCGATTAACAGCAACAACCTCCCCCAACAAAACTCCCAAAAGAACACCCCAGCCCCAAAGTCTGTTCGGCAGCCTCAGCTTTTTGTAGCTGGAGTCAGTCCCAGCAAGGCAGGGAGCAGGTCTCGCAGCCAAGATGGTCTTCTGGCTTCTTCCGCAGCACCAGCTTTCGTTTTAGATGCTCCTGCCGGTATCTAATCCCTGGGGCTGGTGTGTTGTGTGTTCAGCTTATACAAACGGCCTGCTACCCATGTGACTACCCTGTAACTAACCCAGTATTTTAAGACGGGCTGGTTGGCATTTTAATTCGGGCAGTGACTGACAGTGTAGGCAGGACGACAGATTGGGAATGAACGGCTATCAATTTGGGTGCTGTTGATCAGAGCCCAACCTAGTTGCCTTTAGCCTTCAGGATTTTGACAACAGCAACTGTGTCATGACCTTATTTGAGCTGGCTTATCCTAGTGGTGCCGTGTAATCCTCTTCTGGAGGAGGAGGGAAAAGAGAGGGGGAAAGAATGACGGAAAGATGAGGGAGAGGAAATGCCTAGCTTTTGGTGGGCCTAGCTGTGTGCTGCCTACTCCGACTCGCTACCAGGGCTGAATAAAAATCAATGGATTTAAAAAAAAAATAAAAAATCATATTTTAAAAATGTTAACAAGATTTTTTTATAATTTAAATTGGATTTTTAAAATAAAATGCTTTTGGAGGAAAAATCTTTCTAAAGATAGTTTTCTATTTAAGTTACATTATAGTCCATCAGGAAATAAGGATTTGTTTAAGTTTTTCATGTGTGCTAAAACTCAGTCTTTTTTTAAAAAAAATGTTTAACCACATCAGTTAACAAACATGGATACATATGCTATAATGTTATTGTTTTAGTTAAATAAATTGATTAAATTGTTATTAAGGAAATGATCACTTTTCTCCTTCCAATAAAGTACAACAGAAAAGTTGTCCAAATATAAACATTTAACTTACTAAACCTTGGCTTCATTTAATAATTATTGGTTTATGTATTTCTAATAGTATAACCAAATCAGTAATTTTTGATATAACTGCAAAAACTACTCTGAAAATTTATTATTCCCAAAATGAAACCATCTGGTTGTAAATATTAAGATTATACCAGCAAGAACGAGTCTTTCGGGGGGTGGGGGGATGATTTAAATCAAATCTTACTGACTAATGATTTAAATCATGGGTAGGCAAACTAAGACCCGGGGGCTGGATCCGGCCCAATCGCCTTCTAAATCGGGCCCGTGGATGGTCTGGGAATCAACGTGTTTTTACATGAATAGAATGTGTGTTTTTATTTAAAATGCATCTCTGGGTTATTTGTGGGGCATAGGAATTTGTTCTCCCCCTATTTCAAAATATAGTCCTTCCCCCCACAAGGTCTGAGGGACAGTGGACCGGCCCCCTGCTGAAAAATTTTGCTGACCCCTGAATTAATATAGTGATTTAAATTGATTTGATTTAAATCACATCCACCCTGCTTGCTACAGCTCTCCAAGATCTGACAGGGTCCCCTTTCCCAACACGGATTGATTCATGTACAGACCCCTCTTCAGCTCGGCACCAGCATAAATGAAAGCTCGTCTCCTTTCTTTATATCCCCAAACACTTTGCTCTGCAGGAGAGGGCTCCATTCAGGCGCCATCTTGCCTGAAGTTCTGCTCCACATGACGGACCTTTAGTGTGTCAGCGCCCACCCTATGGAATACGGGTCTTCTGTTACAGATCAAGCAGGCGCCATCTTCCCTGCCCTTTCGGTGCCTGTCGAAATACAGTGGTGCCTCGCAAGACGAAATTAATCCGTTCCGCGAGTCTCTTCGTCTTGCGGTTTTTTCGTCTTGCGAAGCACGGCTATTAGCGGCTTAGCGGCTATTAACGGCTTAGCGGCTTTAAGAAAAAGGAAACAAACTCGCAAGAACTTGCAAGACGTTTCGTCTTGCGAAGCAAGCCCATAGGGAAATTCGTCTTGCGGAACGACTCAAAAAACG